GTGATATAATATTTTATATGGTTGATAGAACAGGTTCTATAACATTTACAATTTGTTTTTATACCTTGCCTTAAAGAGAGAGAGCCTCATTAGAAAAAACTAGCTCAAATATGATAACAATATTCCATAAAGGAAGAGATTTGTAGAGGTAGAGAGAAGAAGTGGAAGTGAGGAAATGGTGAGCGCTACAAAGAAATGCAACCTGATCATATGTTAACTTTGCAATAGATTGTATATTAGGTTTCCATTATAAGTCAGTAATTAATGATAATTCAAGAAGACAAAAAGTGTGGGACTCAGTAATAGTGTTATCATTTATTAATATAAGAATATAAACGATATTGTGATAACTGTTTGCAGTAAATAATTGTTGTTGGAATTCTCAAGCCAAAGAAAAGCTGTTACAAAAGAGATCTGTTACAGGTTCTAGATTAGCTGCTTGTTTTAAGCGATCAGAAAGTAATATTAACTTTATATTAAATGATTATAATTTTTGTCTATTCGACAGTATGTAATCATCAGCAAGTAGAGGCAATTTAGATGTAAGATTGTCAAAAAGTTCATTAATATATAGATTAGAAACAATACATAACCAAGGTTAGAACTTTGTGTTATCTTAGAAATAAAAATGCGTCCAAGACTTTAATATTATGGTTAGAAAGAAACCATTTAATAATAACAATAAAAAACGAGATTCAGCACTCGTTTAGTTGTGAAGAGAGTTGTGGAGAACAACTGAAGGTGAGACTGAGACTGTCTAAAGACTGTGACACTGTGACACCGGATAACACTTTTGTAAGATTGTGACAGGAATGTTGCCTTGGCCACAAGCAGTGTTTAAGAGAAAAATAATATTAGCAATGTAAGTTTCAGTGGTTCAACTAATTATCGATTAATCTGTTTCTCTGGAATAATAGGAAGAGACTTAAGAGTTGAATTAGAGGAAAAGTTCTTTGCAAACAGTTTTACATTATATAATTGTAATAAGATAAGACCCATTATTAGTGATGGAATGTTAGACAGTTGTTAATGACATTATAGAAGGTTTTTTCAAAAGTCTGTAGAACCTAATTTTAATTTTTGTAATTTCTGAGATAAAATATCAAGTTTTGTAAACTAAAAATATTTGAGCTTAATGCCAGCACTTTTTTATATTGATTTCTTGCAATAATAAAAAGAAGTTTATTTTCATAAGTGTTGTTTTTGTGAAAAAGATGACTTGAAACCAAAAAAAAGAAATAGAAATTTTCATTCCTGTCATGATCCAGAAGATTATGTAGGAGGTAGGGGTACCTTATATACACACTATGAGTATCATTAAAAAAGTAAATAAAAAATTTATCATTATATGTATATACATATATGTGAGTGTTTATATATATAACATATTATTATATACTATTTTATTGCATTTTTGTTAAAATGGCTTTGCTTATTTTTATTTGTTAAGTACTTGCATTTATAAAGGAATTGAATGTTGAGACAACACACTCAGCTTTTCGAGAAAAAAAAAACAGAAAAAAGGCAGATTTTTATTTGAAATATTAACAAATTGATATTTTTAACCATTTTTAACCGAATTGATATTTTTATAGCCATACTATTAAAGAAAAATTCAATTAAATTTTGAATTACTTAAAATTGAATTTTAAGTAATTGTAACTATGTAATAAAATTTTTTTATTAATTACATAGTTACAATTACTATTGTAACTATGTAATAAAAAAACATTTTGATTTTTTTATTACACTTTTGCAAAAAAAAAGTAGTTGATTAGTTTATTGTTTATAGAGAACCGGTTGTCAAACTATATACACTATATATAGTTTTACAATATTTATCTATAATATAAACACACACGTCACTGAATACCTGATTCTGTAATGCTGTAGTTATTACCCCTTTGTGGTTATTTATAATTACTTAAAGAATTATAAATTAAATTAATTTCACATTCTTTAAGTAATTAATCAATTAGTTTAGACACCATCATCTGGTGAAACATTTTAATATGAGTGTAGACATTTAAAAAACTTTTTTTTAAATTAAAACTTTCATTAGGTTTTTCAATTATATTGTGGGCTAAAAGACTGCCAGTATTTAACTTAACTGTATATACATATATTGATTAAATCAATTTATCATTATATGTATATACATATATGTGAGTGTTTATATATATAACATATTATTATATACTATTTTATTGCATTTTTGTTAAAATGGCTTTGCTTATTTTTATTTGTTAAGTACTTGCATTTATAAAGGAATTGAATGTTGAGACAACACACCCAGCTTTTCGATTATGGTTATCCAGTTATCCTTCACCTCAGTTTCCAGTTTCAATTTTGCAAAATGGTATTAAGTTAACAAATGAACCACCTAAAGGTTTGAGAGCAAATATTATACGGTCATACTTAAGTGATCCTATATGTGATCAAGATTTTTTTAATGGATGTAAAAAGCCTGTAAGTTTTTTTCTTTACTTAAGAAATAATTAATTCTCAAGGTATTACACATTTTTAGAGTTTTTGAGATTTTAGAAGTAATAAAAACAACAATTTGAAGATTTTAAAGTAATAGAAACAACATTTTTTTCATCAAAAATTTTAGGTTGAATTTAAAAAACTTTTGTTTGGACTTTGCTTTTTTCATGGTTTGGTTCAAGAAAGAAGAAAATTTGGTCCATTGGGATGGAATATTCCTTACGAATTTAATGAAACTGACCTGCGCATTAGTGTTCGTCAACTAAACATGTTCTTAAATGAATATGATGTAAGTTTTTGAAATTTTTTTTTTGAATAAAAAAGTTTGGAAATGTTACTTTTAATTTAACTTTTATTTTAGGAGGTTCCTTTTGATGCAATAAGATATTTAACTGGTGAGTGCAACTATGGTGGTCGTGTTACTGATAGCAAGGATCGGCGCACATTAATGACCTTACTTAACAGCTGCTATTCCCCAGAGATTCTTAAAGAAAAATATAATTTCTCTGAGAGTGGTATTTACTATGCACCCCCAAATGGTGAAGTAAGTGGGAAATTCTTTTTTACCTTTATACACTTTTTTTATTTATCTTTATGTTATTTTTATTTAATTTTAAATTTTCTTCATTTTAGTATGAATCGTATATCGAGTATATAAAAAGTCTACCCCTGAATCCTCAACCAGAAGTATTTGGCATGCATGCAAATGCAGACATCACAAAGGATGAGCAAGAAACTCAGCTTCTTTTTGATACAATTCTTTTGACACAGGTAATACTTGAGATATGATTTGTTGATGCATCTTACTATATTTGCTTATTTTAGCTTTTTTAAATTTGTGAATCAAATAATTATGCTAGTGGTGGCCATACTATTTTTTAAATTGGTTTTAGGAAAAAAAAGGAAAATCTTTGAATGAAAAAAAAATTATTAATTAGTTTTTCTTTCATTTTACATACATCAAAGTGTGCATTCATTAACTAAATTATTTAGAGATTCAGAAAGTGTACATTAGTTATAGAGCAAGGAAAAGATTGACAGTAAACTTGAAAAGTTGTAGGTTGTATGTGTCAGGAAAACATGAAGATGGGAGAGAGTTTCAAAGAGTAAAAGTGTGGGAAAAAAAACTAGATAAATAAAAGTTTTTAGAGCATGCCAGAGACAGATACAGTAAAATGAATAAGTTGTCAAATAAGACTCAAATAATGATGAGTAAAGTGAGAATAAGTTTTAGTTCATGGTACCTGAGATTAAAGCTTCTTTGAGCAATTGCCATGGTTATTTGTAAAAAAGAGAAAGAGATGCAGCTCTATGACGATGGGAAAGAAGCTTAAGCTTGGAGGCTCAAGTAGATAGAGCAGTTCCAACTACATTTGCAATGCAATTTTGAACCTTGTCTAGAAGAGAAAGAGCCTTATTAGAAGAACCAGCCCAAATATGACAACAGTATTCTATACAGGGACAAATATGAGATTTGTAGAGGTAAAGAATGGAATCAGGAGTACAAAATTAGTGAGCACGATAAAGAGAAGCAACCTTAGCGGATGCTAATTTAGCAATTGATTGTTTATATGGTTTCTATGAAAGGTCAGCAGTAAATGATAATCCAAGAAGATTTAAGATCTAAGCAATTGAAGAGAGAAGACTTTTTGTCTAGACAGAAGTATAAAGTTGAGTCATCTGCAAAAAGAGCTACTTTAGATGTAAGGTTGTTAGGAAGATCATTAATGTAGATTAGAAACAAAACAGGACCAATAACAGAACTTTGAAGTACCCTAATAATCTCTGGAAATACGGAAGAGTGGTGGCCTTTGAGGATGACTTTAATAAAGCAATTAGAAACTAACGATTTGATTATCTCAAAAACTTTCCTAGATACACCATCTAAAACAAGTATGTGGAGAAGACCAGAATGTTAAACTTTTTAGAAAGTTTTAGATGTGTCATGAGCAATAGCCTAGCCTCTCTGCCTCTCTCTAATACACAATAAAATCTTTCAGTCACAGCAGTTTTTAAGTCATTCATAGATAAAGGGTATCAAAAATCATCTTGGTTATCTGACAGTAAGTTGTTGAAAAATTTGTTAATCAAAGACTTGATGACCTTGCTAATAACAGAAAGAAAACTGATCGAATGAAAAGTGGAGAGGTCAAAATGTTCAGCAAAATTTTTGAAGATTGAAACAACAGATACCATTTGCCAGCAGGCAGGAAAACAAGAATTAGTCTAGTACTTATTAAATACTTTAGGGAGAATTGAAGACAGTTCTAAAAGGCAATTTTGTAAGACTATGACAAAAATGTTGCTTGGACCACAAGCCATAGAAGAGTTAAATTGAGATATGACTTTATATACAGAAGCTGGAGTGATTTAAATGTCTAACAATGGTTTAACTTGTTTAATTGGAATGAAAAGAAAAGAATGGTCATAAGATTCAAGTGTCGAGTTAGAAAAGTTCTTGTAAATAGTTCTTGTAAATAGTTCTGCCTCATTCTTGGGAGAGTTAATATAATCAGTCACTTGAATTAGAGATGGAATGTTAGACCTACCATTGTTAATGTCACTGTTAAAAATTTTCCAAAAGTCCCTAGAACCTATCTTCTGAGATAAGATACAAGATTTAGTAAAATGAGAATAACAGAGCTTAGCATCAGACAGTACTTCTTTACATTGATTTCTTGCAATAATAAATAGCTGTTTGTTCTCAAGAGAGTTGTTCTTTTGAAAAAGATAAAAAAAATGATTACGATTAGATATAGCAGCTGTGCAAGAAGGTTAAAACCATGGAGTAGAATGAGGCTTGACTTGGAACCGACAAGAATAAATAGCAGCTTTCATTTCCACCTGAATCTAGGAGTTTACATAGGAGGTGCATTTATCAGCTCAGAGAGAAAAGAAATCAATCCAAGGACCATCATGAAGAAAATCATGAAAAGAATTCCAGTCAGCTTTAAAGTAGTAGTTAGGAGGGTGAGTCTGAAAAAGAAGTATGAAATAAAAGATTTAAAGAGATTATTGCATGGTCAGAACCACTTAAGGAAAAAAAAGGAGAAACTGAAAACAAGCTAGGATCAGAGATAATATATAAATCAAGGAGTTAAGGTTATTGCTTAGGGTTATCAGGAAAATGAATCACAAAGTTGACTCGTTTTCTTGATAACCCTAATCAATTACCTGGGTAAGAGACTAAGAAATGCATAATTTATAGGCTTTAGTGCCAGCAGGCTCAGTGGCATTTCTAAAAGAGACAATTTGTTTAGTAAAACATTGCAGAGAATTCTTACTTTATTTAATAAGAATGAAGATATGACTGCTTTGATGTAACAATTGACATGTATGGTTGAGCAGAAATATGTGAATTTGTTGGAATATATATTTTAAAAGATGATGATTTAATAATGATGTGTAAAAAATCTGGCACACAACTCGAAAAAATTAGAAAAGGTATTACAAAATTTTTTTTAAATATAGGCTATAACCTCTCAGAAAATTCATATAAACCTTTTAAAAAACCAAATGATGATTTATTTTTTATATTATCATATATTCAAATCATCCACTCCTAATTCTAAAACAAGTCCCACTATCAATTAATAATTGGCTCATCCAAAACTCCTCTCATAAAAATGTATGCAATTCCTATAAACATGTTTATGAAGATGCCTTTAAAAAAAATGGATTTCAAAATTTTTAATTAAAATTTGACTCTTATAAATTGAAAAATGTTTCCATCAGCAAAGAAAAAGTGTTTTTAAAATCGGTGGATAAGCACTTCCCGTCCTCTAATAAATAACATAAAATTCTCGATCAAAGTACAATGAAAGTTACACAAAAAATGTAGAAAAATTTATAAAAAGTAATAATAATGTTTTGTTAAACAAAGTAGAAATTCTAAATGAAAAATCAACAAAAAATTTGTAAAACAGTTGTAAGCAAAAAAATTGTTAAATAAGTGGAAAATGCTGTGTGAATGTGTGTATGAATATATGTATATATATTAGACCCGTTCAAGTTCTGTTGGTGAAAGTTCAGATGATACAGTAGTCAGAGATGTGGCAAATGATATTTTGGCAAAACTTCCATTAAAGTATGATACTGATGCTGCTTTAAGAAAATTTCCAACTTCTTACAATCAGGTTTATTCATTTTTACAAGTTTATCAAGTAAAAGGATAAAAAAAAGATTTTTCAATAATCTATAATGTTCTTTTCAGAGCATGAATACAGTATTAGTTCAAGAAATGGTGCGGTTCAACAATTTAACATCGGTTGTTCGTTCTAGTTTGATAAATCTACAAAAAGCAATTAAGGTATGTCTGTACAATGCAATCGAAATCAAATATATTTTTTAGTAAATATATATCTTTAGAAATATATTTGAGCAAGTGTAGTTTTTTGGTTAGGGTTTGGCAGTTATGTCTGCTGATCTTGAAGAAATATACTCAAGCATCTTAACTGGTAGAATACCATCCCTGTGGAGATCTAAGTCTTACCCTTCCTTAAAACCATTGGGAAGTTATATTAATGATTTACTGATGCGCTTAAAATTTTTACAAGATTGGTATGATGATGGCCCTCCTTGCGTATATTGGTTACCTGGATTTTTTTTTACCCAAGCTTTTTTAACCGGTATGTTTAACTTGAATAGATGACCTAATTTATAGTTTTGTAGTTTTTAACTTAAATATAAAATTTTAATACTTAGCATCCAATTGTTTACTTATTACAATCTTAAATTTTAGGTACTCAACAAAACTTTGCACGTAAGCACAAAATTCCTATTGACTTATTGACATTTGACTTTGAAATGATGAGAGAGACATCTTTTTCTGAGACCCCTTTAGATGGTAACTTTTAAAATTGTTTTTATCACTTTACCACTATGAAAACCACTTATTCATTTTATAGCAGAAGAAAATGATCTATAGTCTCCTTTATATATTTTTTTTTAACTTTAAATAGTATTTTAATGATATCTGACCATTTCTTTTCTTTTTTTTTTTTTTGTTCTATATTTTCAAAATCATTTTTAAAAGGTTGAAAATAAATAGTTTAAAGATATTTTAATTATTATTCTTATTGTATTATTTTATTTTTAACTTTTTTTAACAATTTATTATGAACGGTTTTTTAAAAGTTTAAGTATTAATTAGATATAAATTTTTCAGGAGTTTACATTGAAGGTTTATTTTTGGAAGGAGCTCGCTGGGACATACAAAAAATGGTACTTGGGGAATCAGTTCCAAAGAAATTGCACGAACCAATGTGCATTGTAAGATTGCTCTATAAAAATGGTTTTGTTTTTTTATTACTTACACATATTTGCTAACACTTTTATAAAAAGTATAAAAAAGGATATAAAATGAATATATAAAAAGGATCAACAATTTTCCCTGAAAATTGTAATAAAGACAATGCTAGTCTTGATTTGCCGTTTCTAGACTTTTCTAAACTTTTTATGTAAACTTTAATTTTAATGTCATGTTTTTTGTGTTTTGTTTTTTTATTCTTTTCTGATACTTTAAGCTATAAAGTACCAGAAGCAAGGAAGTAAATTAGGTTTATTTTCAATCAAAAGTTTTATGTTTTTAAAATGTGCTTATAATAACCCTTTTATATAAGTTGTGCAAAAATATAAAAAAAATTAAAGATATATTCTAATGATCATCTCATAAGTAGTCAAAATAGAAATCAATAATTTTGATGGCAATATTTTTAAATGTTTTCAACCTCATGTAATAGAATAGGAGTTTGATTAGTCTCCAGTCTTCTTTTCTCTCATTTACTAGAATTCAAAGAATAGTCAAGTTTAATCTGCCAAAAATTGTTGATATTATTAAGCTTTTAAATGCAAAAAAAATTTCCTCTAATTAATCTCTTAAGTAAAATTAATCTCTTGAGTCACATTCTTTGTGGTCCGGAAGACATTTCTCTAAAATTTTCTGAATCTCTTTTCATTATCTGGTTTTCCATCAACCAAAACTCAAACTTGCGAGACTTGTCATTTAGCTAAGTTGCATCTTTTTTGTATAATTGTTCTTTTATGCTTAAAAAAACTTTTTATCTTATAGTTTTTTTTCTTAAATATCTTCGGAATTATCTTCATGATTTTATAACTCAGTTAAAAAAAGTTTTTTGAGTCAAAAAACTTTTTTTAACTGTCAACCTCTTTCTTGCTCTTAAACTTTTCTGTTAACTCCCAACATAAATAGTGGTTGTTTGCAGCTTTGTTAAGAGTGAATTTATTTAAAAAAAAAAAAGAATATTTAGTGACTAAAAATATACTAATTTACCCATACCACTTTCATTTCAAAATTGACACTGGCGCTGAAATTACCGTCATTGGACCTAACCGTTTAAAAAAGTTTTAAATTAAAATTATTCAATTACATACTAGTAACAGACAATTATTAGGTCCTGATCATAAACCACTTAATTCCTTTGAATATTTCCAAAAATCATTTACAACCAATGGTCAGAACAGTGAGTTAATTACCATATATGTTTGTAAGAATGTAACAACTGCTTTATTAGGTAAACCTGCCTTACAAAAGTTTAACCTAATCAGAATACACATTCCTGAAGAATTTATTTGTGGAATGATTAAAATAACCAAAAAAAATGTAGTAGAACAGTTTCCTTCAGTATTCAATGGGTTAGGAACAATTAAAAGTGACCCTGTACATATTGAGGTACGTGAAAATGTGACACCATACCATATTGGAACACCACGACGAGTAGCGTTCCCACTTCTAGAACCATTAAAGTTAGAACTGGAACGTATGAAAGAGATGGGTGTTATCAAAGTAGTAGATCAACCTACTGAGGTGTCATCCGATTGTAGTTGTGAAAAAACCTAATGAACAACTTCGTATTTGTATCAACACGAGACAACTAAATAAAGATACAAAACACGAATTCTATAAGTTAAAAAGTGTAGATGATAAATTGGTTCTATTAGGAAAGGGTTGCAAATATATGGCTAAATTAGACGCTAAATCAGGATTGGCAACTACCCATGGATTTGGAAAATCAGTTAAAGTGTATGTTTACCACACCTATTGGTTGTTTTTGCCCAACAAGAGGTCCGTTTGGATTAACGTCAAATATAGAAATCTTTAGTAAAAAAAATGGATCACGTAATTGACGGTCTTAAAGGAGTCGTAAAAAGTATGGATGGTTTTTTAGTTTTTGGAAACACAGAAAATTAATGTAATGAAAATCTAGTTGCATTGCTAAGTAAATTTGCGGAACATGGAGTTACCCTTAATTTAGAAAAGTGCGTATTTATTCAAAGTGAAGTGGACTTTTTTGGACATAAAATTTCAGCAAAGGGTGTTTAACCTCTGATCAAAAAAGTTAAAGCAATTCAAAATTTCCCGACACCAACAAATATTACAGGTTTGCGTAGTTTCCTAGGTATGGCTCAACAGCTATCAAAATTTAAGCCATTACTCGCTAAACTAGATCAACCTTTGCGATATCTTTTAAGTTCAAAATTAGCATGGGTATGGACAGAAAATCATACTAAAGCATTTGATGAGATAAAAAAAAGTTTGACAAATCCACCAGTTTTAGCGTACTATTTTGTGATAAAACCAATAAAATTAAGAGTAGATGGAAGTTTATTAAACGGACTTAGTGTCGTTGTTTATCAGAATCACGATGGGGTATACAAACCAACTGATAGTGCATCTAGATTTTTGACAAAAACGGAATGTTGCCAAGAATTCAACAGTTAAGATTAAAATTGTTAAGATTTTAATTTGCTGCAGAGCATGTTGCTGGCAAGTCAATTACGCATGCTGATGCAATGTCTCGTGCACCTGTGTCGCAATCTACATAGGACGACGAAATCGCAGAAAATGATCTGGACATATACGTTAATTCAATAATTAAAAGTATGCTGACTTCACAGAGTCGATTAGAAGAAATTAGGCAGAAAACTGAGCAGGATGAACTTTTACAACAACTGCAAGTATAGTTTCTAGATGGCCTAATTCAAAAAAATATTGTCCAACAAATCTTGAGCCTTAATGGAATTTTAAAGATGAAATAGTTAAAATTGATGGATTTTTGATGTTGAAAAACCGAATAATAATCTCAGTTAGTATGCGAAAAGAAATACTTTCGAAATTGCACAAAGGCCATATAGAAATGCAAAAGTACAAACGTCATGCACGTCAGGCAGTTTTCTGGCCAGGTTTAAACGACCAAATTGAACAGGTAATCAAAAAGTGCAAAGCATGCATGATGTATCATCCATCAAAACCAAAACAACTTCTGTTAACCTTTAACGTTCCAACTCAATGGTAAAAAGATGGAACGGAATTATTTCAGTGGACTTATAAAAATTACTTAATTCTTGTTGATTATTATAGTTTTTGGGCGAAAGTATTTCTGCTTTTAAATACCAATTCGGTAAATGCAATATTAGCATGCGAAGAATCGTTTTCTATAAATGGTGTCCCGGAGGAATTGGTTTCAAATAATTATACACAAGATACTTTAAAATTGTTTCATCATATTTCTCAACAGTGGCATTTTAGGCATATAACAAATAGTTCGCACCTAAGATCAAATGACTTAGCTGAAGCCACTGTTAAATCAGTTAAACTTATAATAAAAAAGTGCCACATGTCAAACGAAAAATTTTTTAAAGGTATTCTAATATTGCGCAATACTCCAATAAAATGTGTATTATTTCCAACAGAGCTACTATATGGAAGACAACTATGAGATAATCTACCTAGATTTCAAAATCAAAATAAGAAACTATATAAAAGATCTAGAATTAGAAACTATATAAGAAATATATAAGAAATAAGAAATTATATAAAAGAAAGAATTAAATCGAAAAACTTCTATGATAAAAATATTCGTACTTTAGCACCATACTTTTTCAAGCAAGGCCAAAATATTGCAATTCAAGACGAAATAACTCGCGAATGGAGTCTTAGAGGTAAAATAATAAAGTTTGCAGCCCCTCATATGATCAATCATATGAAGTCAAATTAAATCACAACGAATACGTTCTCCTTCGAAATCAAATTCGTCTTTTGTATACTATATTTGTTCCTCACAGGACTCGAGATAATGCGGAAATGACGGTGCACAAAAGAATAATAGCAGAAACAAAAAGTATCCCAGATGAGATTAACGAAAAGCAAATAGTACAAGTATCAAGTCGTGGACGAAAAATAAAGAGTGAAAAGCCACTCGATTTTGAGGATTTATAAACTAGTTTGACTTATTAACAATTATATTTGTTTTGTTTTATGTAGTACGTTTGCCATATTTATATACATATATCACGGCTTGATCGGATAGATCGGTTCCGGCCTTTTAAAATAGAATCTATTATGAACACAACAGCTACAAAGCTGCAATATTTAGGTTGCGGCATGTAACGTAACCCACTATACGAAAATATAAAAAAATAAAATTCTGTAATAACGTATTACGAAAGAAAACTTGCGAAACAAACCATTTCGTAAGAATACTTACAAAATAGTTCCTTACAGAAGGAGCATTTCGGAATGTGCAGTTACAAAAAAGACAGAAAAGATTTTATGTTAAGATATATTTAAGATATTAACTGTTAACAGTTTAAATAATAAAATAATGGAAATTGAAAAACATTCCGACTTAGTAAAAGTCCGATTTATCCAGGGACCAAGTTAACGGAATTCTACTGCGTATATATATACCTCCCCATTATTCTTGCTTTTAAAAAAAGCTTTGACGCAGTAGTCAGTCCCCTAGCTTCATAAGTTAGAGATAAAGTCAGTCGCTATTTATTTTAATAAAAAGGGATTCACGAAACCAATTTTTTTCTTTCTAGTTTAATTCTTTATTAATACGTAAACACCTTTTTCTCCAGCTTAGAAGCGAAAGTACAATAAAGTTAACAAATCTCTGTTACACGAGATTTATCGTGTAGATTGCTATCGTTTGACATTAGGGTGAAAATAAAATCTTCAAAGTGAAGGAACCAAAAGCTACATCAAAAAAAAAAAAAAAATTCCCCTCCCCAGGTACATATTTATATATCTTTCGACTTTCGGTCGCTTATTGCTTTTGGATTAGCAGAAATGAAGTATCTTTTTTTTACAAAATTTATATTCCCACAAATAAAAATCTTATTTTAAAAATTCCCATATATAACATTTTTTATTTAACTTCTCTTTGGCCGTTTTCAGTTCTCACTGAATTTGGCGATTTATTTTTCGCTTCCGTTCAAAGTAGCTACAGCTACACAGCACTTGTGTA